GTTCCCACCCAATCAGCTCACACCCCCACTAGCAGTTAAAAGGAAGAGACAGCTGCGATCTCACATTGCTCCTGGAAGCACGAAGCCGAGAACACCAGCCTGAAGATGACGAATAAGACTTCGTCGAAACGTCGCCAAGACACTTCCAATTTTACGTGGGAGAAGACCCGAATAACCAAAGACCTACATATTATATATATATATATATATATATATATATATATATATATATATATATATGTATGTATGTATGTATGTATGTATGTATGTATGTATGTATGTATGTATGTAAATATAAATATTTGACCTCTACAGGGAGGAGTCACAAAATATGGGTGTGTCTGGCTGAAGAGGTCTAAAAAGGCCGAAATAATGCTATCCCAGTCTCCCATAAGTCACAGAAGAAACAACATAAAATGTCTGACAGGTCTGAAAGTGATGAATAGAGATTTCATCCCACCATGGCCATTTTAACATCTTTCAACATAGGAAAAAACCCTGATTGCAAAAATATCGCACATTTATACCTATGAATCAAAATAAATAAATATATATATATATATATATATATATATATATATATATATATATATGTATGTATGTATGTATGTATGTATGTATGTATGTATGTATGTATGTATATATATTTATAAACAGTAAATAATAAATTGAGTCAACTTAGTGTATCTGCTAAGACCTTGGCCTAGAATTTAGATGTTTATGCTAGCCCTGCTTATTGAAACAGAAAGGTCTTCAGGGCACGTTGGAAAGTGTGAAGATCTGGGATTATTCGTATTCCAGGGGTTATTTTGTTCCAAAGAGTAGGTGCCCCCACAGAGAAGGCTCTCTCCCTTGGAACTACTAGACAACATTGTTTTAATGATGGTATTATGAGTAGGCCTACTCTGTGAAAGCGTATTGGTTGGTGGGAGGTTATCGGTTGCAGCAGGTGGTCTCGTAAGTACTCAGGTCCTAAACCATGGAGCACTGTAAAGGTAAGAACCAACACCTTGAAGCACACTCGGAAGGCCACTGGAAGCCAGTGCAGCTCGCGTAGAAGAGATGTTACATGTGAGCGCCATGTTGCTCCCATAATTACTTGCGTGGCCACATTCTGGACCAGTTGGAACTTCCGGGTGCACTTCAAGGGGAGCCCCATGTAGAGAGCATTGCAGTAGTCAAGTCGGGAAATGACGAGGGCTTGAGTGACTGTGCGTAATGAGTCCCGGTCTAGAAAGGGATGCAATTGGCGAATCAGGCAAACCTGATAGAAAGCTCCTCTGCCACGGCTTTTATATGATCTTCTAAAGACAGTCATGCATCCAGGAGGATGCCTAAATTGCAAGCTTTTTTTTTTTGTCCCAGTCCATGTATCCCCAAGCACCAGTACAAGCCTGCAGTACCTGAAAGTAGCTATTAACTTGTTTTCAAGCAGGAAGACAAATTTACCACAAGCATCACAGTTCATGACTGTACAGTACTGATTATTCATGTTTGTTTTGAAACTAATAGAAAAGCTCCATTTGTTTCGTCCTTTTTTAGGATATATGTGTACGTGTGTGTGTATTTGTAATTTTAATTGTTCTTACATTTATAAAAATTTATAATTTATATTACTTGTTATTATATTAATGTATAATTTATATAATTTATAATCATATTTATATTTTTATTACATTGTAAGCAACCCAGGGTCCCTTTGGGCAGCATGATGGGTGGCATATAAACCTAATAAATAATCATAAATAAATAAATAAACAATCCTCCTTGTTATTTTCTTATGTTAGTCAAGTACACACTGTTGACTTAGAAGTTTCTCTGTGAGGACATTCTGTGAATCCACTTCCTGGAAACTGGCAGACGTATATTATTCCTAACCTGTCTAGCAGCCCTTGGGCTTCTTCAACAGGCAGCACTTATTCACACACAATGGGCAATTAGTAGGCCTCAGGAGAATCAGAAATTTTTGTTTATTTATTTCATATGGTGTAACAAAATGCAGCATAGTGCATAAAATTGACAGAAATCCCTTTGATCTGCAGTTATTCAAGAGATGTTTTTCAACCCTATTTCTATGTATACCTCCTTTTTTACTGAATAATTTGTACACTGGATTTTTCATAATAATTTAAAACTTTTTTCAGAGTTATACAAAAGCCACAGATTTTACGGTGGTTGTATTTGAAATGTTTAAGCACAGATAATAAATACTTTGTAATTATACAAAGTCTGGTTGTAGAAGAACAAATCTTTTTTCTCTCTGCAATTTTGCATTCTTGAATCATGTTATCTGTCCCACTAAATATGAAATTTTAAAACAATACAAAATCTATGTGATTCATATTATTCAGATCTGAAGGGCACTATGGCAATGATCACAGTCAACGATGGGACCCTTGGATCTGAATACTAGTGATCTTCATTTCATTTATGTCTTTCAACATAGTGGAATACTGTACTTATTCAAATCTCAGTACAATAATGTTCTGAAAAGAATGGGCAACACCACCAGCATACTTTATGCAATAAACAACATTATTCTGATCTATATGTTCTCTGTGGAGCAACACAAGCATAAAGGGTATATTCAACATCTATGAAATATAACCCTATTAGAAAAGCCAACTGAATTACAGGGACCTTGAAGCATAAAAGCTGCCAGCTATATTAGAATTATGGCCTCTTCTTTCTTAAATGAGACAGAGGGTAACATTGTATTGCTCCCTCAAAGAGACTAGCATGAATCGAGCGCATTAAGGGCAGGGTTGTGCCTTGTAAGATAACTTAACAAGATTAAGTGGAACACATTTCTCCTTTTTATGTGTTAAAATTGTATAAGACCAGGCTCTAAACTCCTCCTTCTAACAAGCACAAACAAAGAAATTCTCATAGGAATATTCATCTATGAAAGATAGGAATATTAACAAATAGTGAAAATGATTTCTCAGCATGTCTATGGAGATTCTCAATCATCCAGGTCATGGTTGTCCCAAAGGTGCTTTTTCCAAGAGTCAACTGGACTTCCTTGTTTTTCTTTGAAGACATTTTGATTCTCATCCAAGAAGCTTCTTCAGCTCTGACTGGATGGTGGGGAATGGAATGTCCTTGCAGACAGCTGGTCATTTGCATTCTTTTAGAGAGTCATTGAGGCTAATTGGAGGTTTGTGTGTGTCCTCAGGGTCACCCAAGTAGTGCAAATGGGTGTGGAGCCTTCGTGGAACTGCTGAAAGGACTGTTTTATGGAGCTGTGCTTTGCAGCTTAGGCAAAAGTCGTCTATTCATATCACTGAATCTTATCATATTACTGATATGGGAAGGGGAAAGTTTGTGGGAAGGGGAAACTATCACATATGAAGCAATAGCTAAGGTATAATTAGTTTCTTGGAAACTTATCACTGAAAAAAAAGCAGGAGGGAGGAATAACTTAATAAAACCAAGAATAACTCTATTTTAGTGCCTAGAAATTTTTTCTCATCTTGCTCTTTCATCACTTTTGTTCTTTCACTTGATAATGAAAGTATGATTTTCATGGTTCACCACATTCAGTGCAGTTGCTAATATGCTTAAGCATTTTATGCATTTTTATTATAATAGACATTTTAATTCTTTGTGTGACCAGCTGCATGTGCTGGACCTCTAACACATTGAGCCGACCATGGTTGTCATAGCAGTTATGAAGTAATTACCACCCACGATTACAACAAGATAATGCTTCAACCTTTAGGCAAAGAACATGAAATTAATTACCTCCTTGCAATGTGGGAGAAGACCTTTCATATTTTTCAATGGACAAGAAAAAATATTGAAATGTTTCTGCCAGCCTCCATATTATACCAAGTACATCACTGATGTTCATATAATCACTGGTTGATAGGAATAATATAGCAATGTATCAATCCACAATATGTATTACTTGCTCAGAAGGCAGTAGAGCAGTGTTTCTCAACCTTGGTAGCTTGAAGATGGGTGGACTTCAACTCCCAGAATCCCCTAGCCAGCTGGGGGATTGTGGGAATTGAAGTCCACCCATCTTCAAGCTTCCAAGGTTGAGAAACACTGCAGTAGAGGAACATTCAAGTAAATATAAGAATGTCAAAATTAAAGAAAGTGGTACCAGAGAAAAATGCTACATGGGGAAACAAAGTAGTTGGCATTATCCCACATATTATTTAGTGAGAAATGTAAGCTGTTTCTGAAGAGGATTTAGATTTCTCACAATATTCTGTTTAGAATATACATTATACAGGTGAAATAATTTCATATGCATATGCATATTCCCTTTTTGGACCTCTAATAGTTTCTGCTATTTAACAATCAAGAAACATTGTTAAAATCTATTGCATAATTGAGACAGTAGATAACAGGACACTACCCTCTGTGAACACACAGTTACTGATAACAATATGGACAATATCTGAATTTATCTCTGGCAGGTCAAATAAAAAAGAATAAATCAGTCTTGCCTAGCTAAGTAAGAACATTAGTTTCATTTGGCCTGCAACTACCAACATGCTTCTCTTGGTCTTAAAGGAACATAATCTTAAGTCTTCTCCCAATAGACAGATAAAATTATGATGGAGAATGTTCAGATTGATTTCTGTGATATGTGATGATTTGTGCTGTTTAACAATAAAGGGGAAAAAAAACTACCTCCAAGTGTGATAAGGGAATATATAGTTGTGCAAGAACAATAGCCATAAACTAATTTCCTTCAGACTGCCAGTGAATTGGTTTGTTTCTTCCAAAACCATTTTAGAAATAAATTTATAATATGCCTTACTGCATTGCTCTCCAATCTCACATGTGGGCCTGAAAAAAAAAAGCTGTCATATTTGTTGCCTTCTGCTTTAGTGCAACTTCTTTTCTTCTCTTTTCCAAACAATGAATCAAGATGCTGCCCAAAGAGGGGCACAATCTATTTGTATTTATTGCAGATTTATTTCTGAATATGTTGCACAGAAAATGAGACCGAACCCAAGTAGTATGTAAAGAAGGAAAGATGAGGAAAAGAGTGCTTTTATTCAGTGAAATTTTGGTTTAATTGACAGAGCAAAGTAATCTAGCCAATTGGCTGATTCTAAAAAGGCTAAAAAGGGTCAGGGCTGTTAATTAGTTTGATGGGAAACCTCCAGGGACCACTAAGGCAGTATGTTTCTCCAATTGCAGACTTCCACGATTTATCCGAATGCAAGCTCCATTTCCCACGGCAGATGGTAGCACCTGGAATTAGAAGATAAGCAGGGTCAACTTTGGTTAGTTCTTGGATGATGCAATTCTTTTTTTACATTTCAGAATTGTACACTGAGCTGAAAGCAATAAAATGGGGTAATTTTCTTCCACCAAGAAAATTACATGTATACAATTACCAGGAGTGGAGCATAATTTTATTTTAAGCTCCATTGGCCATAGACAGGTTAAGGCATTGATTTGAAATGCAGATGCTTGAAAACATGTATATGATGGAGCAATATTAGCAACATCCTGTTCCCAATATCTCTGGATCCTAACTAATCCATCTTTTAGCCTCCCTACCTTTCATACATTTAGCTAAGAATTCTGAAGGATAGATTCACATTAATTAAGTATGAATAGAACTTTCTCTTCTGTTTAAGATTATGCTTTAATAGGCTCTTAGGCTGAGCCTTTGGGTGTATGGATAAAACATTTCATCTCTGCCACTTTTGGATATAGATGCACCCCTACTTGTCATAGATCTTTCTATTTTGTAAGAGAAGCTACAAGAAAAGCTTGCTAATCATGCTACACATGATTTTAAGCCCTCAAGCAGTCACAAAGTAGTAGTGTAACAACTACATCCATGTCTACTAGGTAAATTTATATGGCATTTAAAAATACATTATACTATATTTCAAAAATTATTATTCAGTATCTGAAGCATAAAAGCAAGCTTGACTGAGCTACCTGAATCATTTTATGGTATTAAAACCTGGTCCCTGGAATAACCTCTGTCATTCGTGACATTAACTGCTTAAATAGCATCTTGAAAGAGACATCTTTCCCATCTTCCAAGCAAAGGCAATCCACATGGCAGATGGAGTATAGTCACCACAAAACATCTGTTATGGACACAGCCCCATAACACTGAGAGTAACCTGGCTTTCCTTGTTTCCCTGGCCTGACTGTGACACAAGGATGATTCAGTGTGTCTGTAATTTGCAAAGGCACTCCAGTCCCTAATGGAAAGTTAACAGCTGGATGTACCAGGAATGGATTCAATGACTTTCACAAATGAATGATTTAGATGCATCACAGGCATATGGTTTGATTTTCCCCACCCCTATGTTTCTTATGAAATGCAGATGAAGTTTCCATTATTGTTTGTTATATAAATTTGCATACAGAGAGGAAAAAAAGCCCCCTATTTTGCATTTGTTTACAGAAATGGTTTCTTCAGCACTTAAATGTCACATACTTAGAATAGGGTAACTGATTAATTACTAACTACACAAACATTTGCTATTGAGACATTTAATACAAAAAACAAAAACAAAAACACATAGATCTGAAATTTGCTGGAGGGGTTGGAGAAAGCAAGCAATGAATTTTCATGTTTAAAATCTATGGGCTTACTGGGGCAAATTATATTATTACTTTTTTGCTAAACCGCCTTGAGGTTCAGTTGATCATTCACAATCAAAACAAGATAGTTTTCTTTCTCAGTCAAATATTTCTTGCAAATATTATCAGCTAAAAACACTGAATAAGAAGTATCATTTATGAAACTATCAGAAGAGAATGCAGGAGAGGTAGCCCTCAATTTACGACCACAATTGAATCCAAAATGCATGTTTCTAGTGAGACCATTGTTAAATGAGTTTTACCCCATTTTACGATCTTTCTTGCCACAGTTGTTGCGAATCGTTGCAGTTGTTAGTAACATGGTTGTTAGTTAATGGGGAAGCCAAATTCACATTTGATGAGCAGAAGACCACAAAAGGTGATCACAGGTTTCCCAAATACTGCAACTGTCATAAATATGAACCAGTTGCCAAGCTTCTAAATTTTGATCATGTGGCCGTGGGGATGCTGTGACCGTTGTAAGTGTGAAAAACAGTCATAAGTCCCTTTCTTCAGTGCTGTTGTAACTTTGAACGGTCACTACTGTTGTAAATCAAGGACTACCCATATTTAGCTTACTCCGTAAAAGGAATTTTTACAAACTTTCAAACATATCTGCAAGATCTCTAACACTCACTCACTATCAATCTCTATCTCACACAGACACTGTAAAGTTTGATAGTGATGCAGCTAAATAATTTTAGACCGTCCTTCTCCAAGTATCCCACAGGTAAGTTGGAATCACGACAGCCAGGATTTTCTGTTACCATCGCCAATTGAGAATTCTGGAAATCTTGGTCCACCAAACACATCAGAAGCAGTGGTGAAATTCATTTTTTTAAAATACCGGTTCTGTGGGCATGGCTTGGTGGGTGTGGCTTGGTGGGTATAGCAGGGAAAGGATACTGCAAAATCTCCATTCCCACCCCACTCCAGGGAAAGGATACTGCAAAATCCCCATTTCCTCCCCACTCCTGGGAGAAGGATATTGCAAAATCTCCATTCCCATCCCACTTTGAGGCCAGCCAGAGGTGGTATTTGCCAGTTCTCCAAACTACTCAAAATTCCCTCTACTGGTTCTCCAGAACCTGTCAGAACCTGCTGAATTTCACTCCTGATCAGAAGGGTACCAAATTCTTCTGCATGCAAGGGACCATATTTCCTTAGACCATCAGTTTGATATTTTTATCCCTTCTCATCTTCAGCCGGTGACATGAGGCATGTAGCTGAATTTTCTGTTCCCTTACTCTCCTTCACTCCCTATTTACAAGGGTGCTTACCTGGTATGTTAGAGAAAACAAACAAAAGAACTTGGCCAGTTTGGATCAATTTTATCATTAATTTTACAGCATGGGACCATCATGATGAGAACAATCTGGAGTTGCCTTCTGCTTGTTTGCCAAATAAACAGTTTATTTGGAAAAAGGGATTGTTTTCAAATTTAAAATAAATTTATTTTAATGATGTCTGCCTGGATGACCTTTGATTGCTATCCTGGGGGAAAAATATAGGACATAAATCAATGGAAGCAATAAATGTTTGTTTTTTAAAAAAATTAGGTAGCCTATTGTGATAATCAGCATCAAACTTGGTAGACCCTGGGCCAATTTCAGCCCAGTTCTTGGCACCAGATATTTTTAATTTTGTTTCCAACTTCTGCTGTTCTCTGCATAAACCAGCCAGGCATAAAATGGCTAAAACTGCGATAATATATTATACTTAATTTGAAATCTAAATAAACTTTGTTTTTGTAGAATTTAAACATCCTAGCTAATTCCAGCTTTAATCTGAAGACAATTGGACGAATATTTTGCTAAAGAAATTGTTCCATTGTTTTGTATAGAACTAGAATGGAAAATAGGAATGTTTTCCATATAAGTAGTAATCAATGCTAATATGCTGCATTTGCAGCTGGAAGGGCCTTTCATGACAATGTAATACTAAACCCACTTAGTTAGGAAATATGGTCCTTTGCATGCAGTAGAATTTATTTAGTAAACATTTATTTATTGAATGTACTTATCACCTTCCCCAATCTCAAAGGATTCTGGAACATATACTGTATACAGAAAACAAAAGCTTAATAGCTAACTACATTCAAACTTTTCTGCCATTTCATCTCCTAGACCATTTCCAAAAACCAGAGGGGTCTGTCAAAAGCAAGAGTCTGCACAGGCGCAATCCAATCCAAAACCCTCGTGGCCACTAATTCCAACCAGTAATTAAGGACTCAATTGAACGTGAGCCAGGAATAAGGATTATCCCCAAGCTTCTTCTGAAATCTTACAGGGTCTACCTAGAGAAGAGTGATCAAACTTTCTCTTCCCATCTGCAGTGAATGGATAGTTACAGAGAACCATAAGACTAGCAGAAAGTGATCTATCCATTACAAGGTACTAATAATAACATTCTCCAATTCCAGATCATGTCACTTCTTCCTCAAGAATATAATAATTTTAAATTTGTTTAATTACCCACTCTAATAGATTCTGGTGGCTTAAAAACTAGAAATAGTATGTGCATTGGGCCCATATGAATTGGGTCCTTTATGATCCAGGACATGAATTCCCAAGGCACTTTAGACTCCATATTCAAGGAAATCAAGCTGAAGTCTCCTAAGACCTTAAATCTGAGGAACTCTACTGTCAACTTGGTTACAACATCCATCAACTCATACATGGAAGCAGCTATGCCGCATGGTAGAGTGCAGCAATCTCATCTGATCCCAGAGGTCAAACGAGCAAACAATCTCTCACATATGTTTATCTGCAGAGCAGTGGCCATGAAAGCCACAAGCATCTGCCTGGTGATACTGTATACCAGGGATGTCAAACTCATGGCCCGTGGGATGGATACGGCACAGGCTGGCCACACACCCCCACATTCTAGTGAAGGGGGGGAAAGTCGCAATACGTCATGTGATGACAACATGACAACGTGACTTTGACATCCCTGCTGTATACCCTGGAACCTAGCTGGTGATGTTTTCAAGAGAGTATCCTTTCCCTCCTGTATTCTACCAGGTCTTGATAATAACCAACTCATCAAGGGTTAAATTATAAAAGAGAAAGCCTTATTGCTAAACCTAATTTTAAATAGCAGCATCTGGAAACCAGGGCCACCTAAGGTTCAGTGATTCCAGAATCCAGAGACAAGTAGCATATGATTGGTATTAAACATCAAGGGCACATTTCCAAAAATTGGAGTGCTTCCTGGTTGTTTAATCCAGGGAAAGATGAAAGCTATTATTTTCTACCTCTTTTTACTCATAGGTTTCAGGGCAAGCTGTTTGGTTCTCCTTATAGTTTAATTATAACTGTTCTATCAGCAACACTTCTCAGGAGGTAGCCACCAGCTATCTAGCATCAATGATCTTCCTCATCCCAATTCAGAGGTACAATGCCCTAGTGGCTCTGGTTTTTCTTTGAGCTACCTGCCTTGAGACTCTTCTTATGTTTGTTTGTTCTCTCTCTCTCTCTCTCTCTCTCCCTCCCTCCCCCCTCTCTCTCCTTCACTGTCCTGTTGCAAGGTTTGTTTTTAAATTTCTCTGTAGTCATTAATCTTGCTGTCTGAAATTCTTTCCACTGCATTCTCTTTAACTCCTATGCCTTTGCTGCTTTTATCTTCCTTCCTCCTCCAGT